CCACTGTGCAGTGGGCATCAGGGTCCCCCCGCCCTCCACATTCACACCCCAGCCCCACTGTGCAGTGGGCACCAAGGTCCCCCCCCTGCCCTCCACATTCACACCCCAACACCACTGTGAGCATTGCACTGCTTTCTGGAACTTGAGAAGGGTTGAGTGGGCAGGAAGTGTTGGCTGCCCTCCCTGAGGACGGTTCACTCTGCGAAGGACGGCTCGCTGGAGACTGGCGTCACCCGCACCCCAGCACTTACCTCTGACCTCCCGCTGGTTTAGAGAGCACTGAGAAGGAGAGGGTGCAGAAAGAGCTGGGTTACCAGTGCCCACAGCAGGCAACAGCGAGGCCTTGGGGTCACAACACGGACCAGCACGTGCAGAGAGCGAGGCTAGACAGCAACAAATCGGAGGAGCCCCCCTCCCCTATGGTCAACTGACGTGGTCACCCTGTCCTACTCACTCACCTCTGAGGGGGGATGTAGGGGGCGCACACAGTGGGCAGGACCGTGCAGGGCTCCGCCGGCGTCTTCTTGGCCTTTTTGGCCTTCTTCCTGACCTTGGACGTGGAGCGGACCGCCTTGACGGCGCCCTCTTTGCGGCAGACGCCGTTCCGGGTCTCGCCGTCCCCGTAAATGTTCAGGGGCCTCCGCGTGCAGCCCGGCGGGGTGTGGACGTCACAGTAGGCGGTCTTCCTGACGGAGAAGGTGGTGGTGCCGCCGCTCAGCTCCTTCACGGGCTCCATCTTCATGTAGAGGCCGGCCTTCTGCGCGCACGTCACGTGGAAGGCCGTGTAGCAGTTGGCTTTGTGGCACTGGATGCAGGCCCCCACGCCCTTCTGCTTGCAGAGGTAGCAGGTGAGCTTCCAGCGGGCGGGCGGGATGTTCCGCACGCCGTCGATGGGCTCGATGAAGACCGTGTTGGCGAAGCCGACCTCGGGGATCCACAGGGCGCACACCACGTGGCCCCAGCGGTCGTCGTCGGTCTTCTTGAAGGCACCGCCCTTGTTGGGGCACAGCACACAGTCGGCGGGCCGGGCGCGGGACTGCAGGCAGTGGCGGCAGAGCCACTGGCCCTCGGGGATGTAGGGCACCCCATAGCACTCCTGGTGCACAGCCAGGTTGCAGAGGTCGCAGAAGAGGATGACGTTGCTGTTCTGACACTCGCCGTCCATGCAGATGCAGCAGACGGCGTCCTCGTCGATGAGCGACTGCTGTTCCCCCTGCTTCTGGTTCTCGCAGTACGACTCCTTCTCGAAGCGGTCCATCAGGAACTCGAACATGTGCTGGGACACAGCCGACACGCAGTCGCCCTTGCGCTTCTCGTTGATGATGTCCAGCCAGGCATAGTCCTCCTCGTCCATGTCGTACTCCACCTCGTTGTCCAGCTCTTCAGCCGACTTCTCGATGAACTTGTAGTAGACGGGCGGCCGCCGGGGCGCCGAGGGCGGGCTGTACTCCACGATGCGCACCTTGGGCTCGGGCAGTGTGCTGGCCGAGGCGGGAGCGCCATGGCTGCTGGGGGGCGCCTCGTTTTTCTTTTTCACGCGGTTGTTTTTGTGGCGCTTCGTTCTTAGGCAGACGGGCGGCCTCTCACTGTTCTCCTTGTTACTGTTACACTCGCTCATCTCCTGGGCAGTGAGGTCATCTTCCAGGATGATCTCAAGGGGGTCAAAGATGCTGATCCTGTGCAGGCGCCCCTCGATCTCGATCTCCACCATCCTCTGGGCTTGGGCGTAGGTCAGCGTCTCTCTGGTCGGGGACTGTTTAACACTGCAGGGGCACGACGGGTGCCTGGCTGCAGGTCCTCGATGGCATCGTCCTTTCCTCCTCATTTGGTAAGGATCACCTGGACACAGATCAGTCACGTCAGTCCCACACAGGATCGGGGAAGCGCTCACCCCAGGACACCTCTGAGGGTCTCAGAATCACTCACCCCAGGACCTCGTCAGCATCCCTCGGGGAACACCCCCAAGGGTCTGGGAATCAGTCCTACGGTTCCTCCTCCAGGTCAGGACCGGGCAACAGAACCAGGAGGCGAAGCCGTAGAGAGAGAGCCTTCTGGTTCCTACGGAACCATCCCCACCAGCTCAGCTCTGTGCCCACCAATCACAGGTGACTGCAGGAACCCTAGTGACCAGTCCACTGGCCCTTCATGTCACCACAGGCCGTGCTGGAACCCAAGAAGGAAACTATGGGGGGGGCAAGGATACCCCACAGCTGAGGCACCACTCAGGCCACCTCTGCCCCTTCCTGACACACTGCGCGCTAACAAGCCGCCCGGGTCACTGTAGCCCCCACAGTGGGGTGGTGACGGGATTCAGAAAGTGCTCTTTTCTGTGCTGAGCGCATGCCGTGCTTTGCTGAGAGGAGCGTCACCTCCAGGAACAGGCTGACCACCTATACAAGAAGACACCTCAGACGTCTTCCTAGCAGTGATCACGTTTTAGTTACAGAAAGTAGAGCCGCTCCAGAGGTCAGCGCAAGCACCCCGCACAGCAGCCCCTCCTGGCGGGCCCTAAGGAAGAAGTAAGGGGCATGCTGGAGCCAGAATGCACAGCCCTAACTGATGCCTTCCCGGGTCCCAGACAGAGCCCTCTACAGATCCTGCATTAACACTGGTCCCCCTGTCCTTCTGCCATAAAGAAACCCACCTCTATTGCGGAAATGCCTTGGGCATTCCTGTGATGAGGACCATGGCAGACACCGTGGCCAGCAGCAGCCCCAAATTCCTCCTGAGGAAGGCTGGGCCCAGCCCAGAGCATCATCATTACAGCCTTCTGAGGAGGGGACCCTAACGTACCCAGAACAGTGTCACCGTGTCATTACTGAGGTGGGGCAGATGCAACAGTTGGTTACTCACCAAATTAAAAAACCACCGTATAATTTTCTCCTCTCCAGCAAAGCTCTAAGAAGTCTAACTACAATAAAGCACCTCAGAATCTGAGCACTCCCAGTGGGTGCCCAAACCCTTTATCTGACCACATTCTGCACAAAGACCTTAACCTCCTACTTAGTGGCCAGGCGGCTCTGTAATTGATTGGCGGGGGGGAGCAGGGTCCAGCACAGGTCTGCTTGCTTCATGGCTGCTCTAAGGCCTCGGGGACAGGAACTAGCATTGCAGTGGGGCGTGCAACAGTAAGCCCACTAATGGTGCTTCTGGACAAAAAACCTGAGTCTGTCCTGAAGAGCCCTGCAGGCCAGAAAAGCCCCAAGTGCTGACAAGTTCCTGCTGTTCAAATTCATTGGATTCCGGCCTGGCCCCAGACAGGTGACTTAAACCCTCCAAGCCCCCACCTGCTCTGCTAGAAAGTGTCACCAGCAGCCGCAGGCCAAGCAGTATTGTTTTTCACACATAATGCACGTGCTTATAAACTTCAAGGAGAAACACCATGCACATAGCACCCACCGGGAACACAACCCTTTACATAAATGCACTCAGTGGGTTCAAACCCATCATCAGCCACTCCTCAGACACCCTATGTAGGGTGGCTCTCAGTCGGAAGTGACTCAGTCACAACAACAACAACAACACCACGAAGGTCTAAGAGCAGTGCGTGGCATCCCAGATAAACACATGCTACCAGGAGTGGCTAAAGTGCAGCGTTGAAGTAGTGCCGAACACTGACAAACAGAGCCAACGCAGGCTGAAACTTTCTGGGGCAATGGATGCTCTAGATGGGGGTGCTTTTGTCACCACTACCGAGACTCGTAAGGCTTTAGGAACAGCCCAGGGACGCTGGGCACCCTTCATCCCAAGTAGCGGCCCTGGCCGTGATACCCCGAGATTCGCCCCACGACTCTGCAGGAAGTGCTGACCGAGCACCCCAGCTCTCAGGCCGAGCGGCTCTGCAGAGGTTGGCCAACGTTTCTCCTTAGGAAATCTTACAGTGCGTCCCTATTAACAGGGAGTTTCCTGTCCTGGCAAAACCAACAGAGCGCGTCTGTTACATAATGCGACCCAGCACGTCGATAGGTATGCCGCCTGTCGGCCCGGCACAATGCACGGCCCGCGACGGGGC